CTGAGCATCAGTGGGGCCCGTGCCGAGGACGAGGCTGACTATTACTGTCAGGTGTGGGACAGCAGTGGTAATGCTCACAGTGACACAGGCAGATGGGGAAGTAGGACACAAACCCGTTTCCCCATCTGTGTCATATTCTCCTATAGCTCCAGGAGGGCTGGTGACAAAGCCATGAGCAGAGCTGCCCTAGGTCCCCAAATCTAAGACCCCCAATCTACCACCTCCTCCCTGCCCTCAGGCAGCTCTGCAGAAGGAGGAGTGGAGTGGATTCAGGGCTGGCAGGACCAGGTTGTCCTGTGTTTCTGTGACATAGTGTGTGTTGCTGAAAGTGCCTGAGTTTAAGGACAATCTGACAGAATCTTATTTCCAGAGGAAATCTTATTTCCACTACATGGAAGATGTTCTAGATTAAGCACCAGAACCTCCCAGTTCAGCTGAACTCCTGAAGCCCTGGGCTCCATGGCAACCTGGGACTCTGAATGGAGCAAACTAGTGTGGTATCCACCTAGGTTTCTAATGGGCCTGACAAACTGACCCACCACTGCTGGGAGGCCCGGCCCATTCAAAGTTCTGCCCTCACTAGGAAGTTCTCCTGGTGCAGACAATTTCCTCCCCCAACGTTATGCCCTCTGTCTGGGTATGACTCAGGCCCAATGATTGTCTGATGTTAAGATCCCAAGTCCCAGTCTCAGTTCGATGTGTGATCTCAGGGCCTCCAGCTGAGTCCTCAATTGTCACCTGTGGCAGGTCTGCCCTATCTCCTTCATCTAGAGAGATCACCCCAAAACCCCACTGCATGGGATTCTCCATGTCAGGGTGTCTCCAGGGAGCCCAAAGAGAAAATGTAAGTCTGCAGAGAATATTGAAGAGGAGAGAGCTGCCCAGAGAGGACTCTGGAGTCGACAAATGTTCCTGAGAGGACTGACGAGCACATGGGGGAGGAAACCCCGTGAGCTGAGGAAACAACTGGCCAGAGCCACACGCACAATCATATAGTGCCTGCGCCCCAGTCAGAGGGGAATACCCCCTAATTAAGGCATCATGTGACTGACTAGTCAGAGCGCTTTGCCTCAGTGGCGAGAAATTAGCCCCAGACCAAAGGCTGCTGGTGCCATCAAACGGAGTATAAAAGCAAGTCTAGAAAAGATCAAACCGGGTCTGAGTTACTACTGAATCCAAAAAGGAAACTCAAAAACAGAGAGGGTGGGGTGGGGCAGGGGGAAAAAAANGTGCAAAGACCATGACCCTGGGGTACCTCACAGAGATCATGGAGCCTAAAGCTGGTATCTCGGTCAGGGCTGGGTTTCTGGTGATTATAACAAATTTACTTAAAACATTCATAAAAAATTTGAAAACAATGAAAGAGTTGACAATGCCAATTGCTAGTGTGTGTGGATAGGGGATGTCACAGAAGGTAGACAAACAGCAGGTATAAAATGAGACCAAGAGATAATTTGATTATCAAAAGCATGAGGGTATTTACTGAGGAAACCATCATACTTGAAACAATGAACAAACATCCTAACAACACAGAACCGCACTTTAATGAAATGTAGAGGGCGGGAACAAAAATGTGCATGGGGCCAACAGAGGGGATGAGGAGGAGGAGGACAGGTTCCATTGACTACCATCTGCTGAATCAGGTGTGCTCACTTACCTCTCAGAGGGCCCAGCTCAGCCCCATGGGCAGGTTCCTAGAAGACCCACTGGGTCAGCTCAGGGAAGACCCCAGCCCAGGAGGGTCTGGGACATGTGGTCAGACCCCAGGAAGGTGACTGTGCTTGTGGAACTGAACAGTCCATGGCTGATTTTCTGACCTGAGAAGCAGCTTAGAAGCTGGCAGACTCCTCCCTTCTTCCTCAGTTACCTGACCAGCCCCATATCTGTGGAGGGAATGATCTCTGCTAACGCCTTCATTTGGAACCCCAGATGAGAAGCACATTTGCACATAAGCTAAATGAGCTCACCCCCAAAGGACAGAGGAGGGAATAAGAGGAGCCTGTGTGAGCGGAGCAGTGCTGTGAGGTCCCAGGAGGCACAGCTCTGGGCCACCTCACCATGGCCTGGACCCCTGTCCTGCTCCCCCTCCTCACTTTCTGCACAGCTGCTGCCCCAAGGGCCCACCTGCAGTCTCAGTCCCCACAGGACCCTGAGCAGGCCTGTCCCTTCCCTGAGCTCAGCCCAAACGCAACTTCATTTGGAGCCCCCTGGGAACAGGTCTTTCATCTTCAACCCCTGTCCTCCATTCTCTTGCAGGTTCTCTAGTTTCCAGTGAGCTGTCCCAGCTGCTCTCAGTGTCTGTGGCCCCGGGACAGACGGCCAGGATCATCTACTCTGGAGATACCATCGAAGACGGATATTATGTGTACTGGTATCAGCAGAAACCGGGACAGGCCCCTGTGCTGGTCATCTATGATAATAGTAATCGGTCCTCAGGGATCCCTGACCGATTCCCAGGCTCTAGCTGGGGAAACACGGCCACCCTGACCATCAGCGGGGCCCAGGCCGAGGATGAGACTAACTGTTACTGTCAGATGTGGGCTATTGTCAGTGACAAGACCCATAGAGACACAGGCAGATGGGGAAGTGAGACAAAACCCCCTGTGCTGTGAGTATCACACTCTCCTTCACCCTCAGGAGGACTGTACACAAAGCCATGATTGGTCTGGCCCAGGTCCCCAGATCTGAGATCCCCAGTCTGCTCTCCTCCTAGCCCTCCA